TCATTGTCATCAAGTCAGAACCAACTCAGAGCTGACCCTCCAGTGGGTTTTCAGAGGCTGTAAATCACACAGGAAGAGACTGTATTTGAGTTAAGTACAACACATAGGGACCCTATGAACAACGTATCTGAGCCTTGTCTGTTCTGTGCCATCCTCATCATCTCTGACACATTCGAGCCCATTGCTGCAGTCACTGTGTCAGTCCATCTTGTTGAGGGTCTTCCTCTCTTTCACTGACCTCCACCTTTCCAAGCATGATGTCCCTTTCCAAGGAATAGCCATCCACCTCTGAGGTGGCAGTGCAATTCCCTATCCACTAGGCCAACTGTGGTCCTTCCAGTTATTTCCTAGTCATCTGAAAGTTGGACAGTGAATAAGAATGACAGACATACTGATACTGCTGAACTGTGGTGTTGGAGAAGAGTACAGACTATCCCATGGACTGCCAAAACAAACAAGTCTATCTTTGAGGAAGTGCAGCCAGAGTGCTCCTTAGAGCCAAGGATGATGAACCCTCAGGTCACGTACATGGAATATGGTGTCAGGAGGGACAGTCCTCAGAAAAAGACATTATGCTGGAAGGGTAGAGGATGAGAAAAAACAGAGGAAGACCCTCAACAAGAAGGACTGACAGTGGGCTCAAACATATAAAAGATTGTGAGGTTGGTGCAGGATAGGAGAAGATTCAGATCTGCTACTCCGAAGGTCCTTATGAGTGGAAGTTGACTTGATGGCACCTGATAACAGTGCCTGTAAACACAAAGCACATTGCCTAGCAGTTAGTAAACACTCGGTTTTAGCCAGTGGTGGTAGTTGCTGATTACCACTGATTTAGACCAAGCCACAGTTGACCCTACACAGTGGCTTTCAGAAGCAGTAAATTGCAGGGAAGGAGATTGCCCACCTTTCTCCTGTGGAAGAGTAGAACCATGTGCCTTCAGATTGGCAGCACAACTCCTTGCCACTAGGCTGCCAGTGCTCCAGGTGGTGGTAGTCCTGGTGTTAATAACTCACAGGCCCTTGTTTGTGGTTTACTGGCTCTTCAGTCCCTCCTCCTCCCTCTACACCGCAAAGAAAGAGCCCAGAAGAGGGAGGAGGGACCCCAGGGTGTGGAGGGTTCAGATTTCCCCCCTACCCCAGGCAGCTCCATCAGCTCAGTATCAGTTCCCGCAAGTAGGCTAGGTTTGGGCAGCTCTTCGGTGAAGTCCCAGCGTGGTGTGAGGGAGGGTGTGGGTGTGGGTGGGTGGGTAGGAGCAGGTGTGGGTGGAAAAGCCAGTACCCCATCCTCTCACAAGAAGCTTAGGTTTTCTGTGCCTCAGGGCAGGCAGAATAAGTCCTTCCCCAGGGAGTCATAATAGGGAGGCCAAGTAGCCCTCTTCCTGTCCAGGCTATTGGATTTAATGCTCTTTCCCTTGGGCCTCAGTTTCCCTGTCTGTGGCCTGCCTGTGGGAAGAGAGTGCTTCCTGCCTCACAGTCTCCATGGCAACGGCAATCGATGCTGGTGGTGTCCTCCTGATGGGAGAGGTCAATGCCTCCCCTACTCTCACCTCATATTCTCATACACCAGACAATTCCAGCCTAACAGCGGGAACACAACTGTAGACCCAGACTCCTCATTTTACAACATGCTCACTGCTAGCAATCCTGAGAGCCACTTCTTGCAGCCTTACTCAAACAACTCACATGCTGTACACACCCCAGCACACTCTGACACTCTCTTAAACACTCAGGTTACATGTCCACATGCACCAGAGTAAAAATGCATAGCCATACACAGAATGCTCCTGATTTACATATGTGTGCAATCACATGTACACAGAGACGCGCTAGCTTCACAGACCAACGCAGGAATATACATCTAGAAAGAATGCATTTGGTCCTGTACAGCTATTACTCAGAGTGTTTGCGACACATACCCATACTTTTTTTCTACAAGCTTTCACCTTAGGATAACTTTTCTCTCTCCCCCTCCCCTTACACAGAAGAGCCACAAAAATGTCAGGGGGGGGAAATGTCAGGGAAACCTGACCTTAGGGACAGAGTGAATATTCCCTCCCTCCTCTGGACTGGCAAGACCAGGACAGAACAGGATCTAGCCTTCGTGCCAAAGGCTCCCAAGAAAGTGCCAGTCCAAAGGCTGAGGTGGCCCTAGGAAGAGGAAGAGACTGTGGCTGGGAGGTGTGTGGGGCAGAGGCGGGGTGAGGGGGAGAGGGAGGAGATCCAGGCTGGAGGAGGAGGGAGGCTGCCAGCCGTCCTACTCCAGCCGGGGAGCCTGAGGGGGAGGCGGTGTGAGGTCTGCAGGCTGGCGCCTGAGCCTCGGCTGGGTGGGGGCCATGCCCCCTGCCCACCATGAACCTGGAAGGGCTGGAGATGGTTGCTGTGCTCGTGGTCGTTGCTCTGTTCATCAAGGTCCTGGAGCAGTTTGGCCTCTTTGAGCCTGTCTCCTTGGAAGGTAACCCAAGTGTCTGGGCGTGTTTGGGCTGGAGGGATCGCTGTTCCCAACATTGGAGAGGGCTGGGAGGGGGTTACTCAGCTTTCATGTCTTGGGCAGGGATGAGGAGGAGAGAGGTGGGATGAGCCATCTTTGAGAGGTGCGGTGGGGCCTTGAGGAGTTCAAGGACCTAGGGGACATCTGTTTAAGGAGTAATGAGAAGTACAGGCATTGGGGTGTGAAGATGAGGAGGTAAGAGAAATCTGGGGACAAGAGGAGGGATCTAAAATCAGGAAGAGGTCTCAGGAGTGGAGGGAAGGAGGCTCCAGGGGTCTTGAGACAATAACCAGACTTCTGGGGACCCCTTTTTGGAGCCCGGGGTCCATGGCAGCCACACTCCCATCACACAGAGGGATGGGTTACAAGGTGTATGGCAGCCTTTTGTGTGAAAGACACGAATGTGACTTGTGTTCAGGTGTGTGAGAGATGACAGGGTGTGACTATGTGTTCGTATATGACAGGAATGATTAAACATGTCAGAGTGATGAGGTGTGAGGGCTGTGTGAGATATGGAAGGGAGCATGCCTGAGGAGGTCTAGGCGTGAGGCTGAGCATCTTTGGGTATTGGGTCGTGAGTGTAGCTGTTCTCAGAGCTTCCTGAGGATACACTAGCTCTGTACCCAGGGCTTGGGATGGAAGTGAAGTCTGGAAGGACATGAATTCAGTTCTTTTTAGGGGTGGTCAGCTCATTTCCCTTTACCTCCCTTTAGTCCTCCCAAGTCTCAAGGGCAAAACAATCTGGGGTTTGGGGAATTCAATTCCCCATCCGACGCCATCCCAAAGTTAACTGTGGATAGTAATATTGAGGGTCGACAGGGAAGCATGTTCTGTCTTCCCTGGAAAGTTTGCCTCCTCCTTTCTCTTCCCACCATCTGTACAGCTCCCTAACATAACTGGTCTCCAATTTTACCTGAGACTGGAAGACATGCAAGAGTCATGTTTCAGGGCCTGCAGGATAAACACCTGGGTAAACTGGAAAGATACAGAAGAAGCGGGGAACATAGGAAAGTCAAGAAATTGCTTGCTCTAAAGTTCAGTAAGAACAGAAAACTCCCAGCCCACCCTCCAGCCTCTGATGCAACTAGGGAGTCTGGCTGGCTGCGTTTGTTCTCATTCAGTCTCAAGAAGATGAAGTTTCTGGGTTCTGGTTTGCCATCCCCTTTAGATTGTTTGGTGGGGACCACCACCAGAGAAAACTGAAGGCAGCCCCTTGATCTTACCCTTCTGAAGAACCAGAAAGAGACCGAGGCCTGGAGGCAGTCTGTCTAAGGAGGCATTAGAAACTGTCCCCCCCTCCTCAGTGGTGATTACACCCCAGACCTCAGGCGAGATTTGGTTCAGGGAAACCAAAGCCTGGGCTAATGGAGCCCTGGGCCTGGGGCCAGGCCACTATCGATCTCTGGTCCCCAGCACAGCCCACTGCCTCCCTCCCACATCTCTATAGCTTCTGGAGTTGGAGGACTTGCTGCTTAGGGGTGGATAACAAGACAGTGAAGTCATGAAGTTACCTCCCTAGGAAGAAGGTTTGGCCTGTGAAGGTGAAGTAGGTGCAAGGGGGTAGTAAGGGGGTGACTGAAGTGGGAAAGTTACCTAATCAGAGTCAGGCCTCTCCTTTTGCCACTGTGCCAGGTTTGGTACTGAACACTGGTCTCAGAGCCTGGAATATATGCAGTCAGGAGATAGATCTATTATTTCCTCTAATTACGCTATCCTTTTGCCTTCAAAGAACAGGCCATACTAGGAAGTCTGGGAAGGGTGAGTTAGATGCTCAGGCCCTGTTCCTCTGTTTAGGAACATTCTGGTTGTCTTGGAAGGAAGGGTTACAGGAAAGAAAAGTGCTGAGAACAAGCTCAGGCTGTATGGATGAGATAGAGCCTTGAGTAGCCTAGGTGCCATGAACAGCTGGGTCACAATCTAGTATCAGCAGTTGTCATGGTGGCCCTGGTTTGTGTATCATCATGTCCTGAACACTCTGTATTCCAGTCATGTGTGCTCTGTAATGGTTTGATCATATCTGTGTCACATGATCTGTATAGGTTCCCGTATGTATCATATTTTATTTTGGTCATTTTTGTCTTAAGGAGGTCAAAGTGTGTGTGTTTGGAGGACCTGATGTGAGCTACAGTGTATCGAATTGTCACTGTAAGGCAACCATCCCAACACTGTAACTTATCATTCTCTATGTTACTTTGTATTCCTGTCACCATGGGTGCATGAGAATAGTGTTTGTGTCCCTGTGAAGTCTACCTACGGCAAAGGAGCAATGGGCACTGAGTCAACAGACCCTGAGGCCACAGCCCCCAGGCTGCATCTCATTATGCAAAGCACTGGAGCCCCTCTGATGCTTTTCTACTGAAGTCCCCTAGGCGATCACCTTGCCATTCCACACCCTGCTCCCGCAACTCCCTTCTTTGTCCCAGCTTGGGATGATTTGTGACTGGCAGGGGGGGGATGGGGCAGAGGGGCCGTGGAGGTTAATGTGCCTTCCTGGGGTCTTCTCTTTTCCTAGGCCACCCTCCAGGGCCCACTAAAAAAGCGCTGAAGCAGCGGTTCCTCAAGCTGCTGCCCTGCTGCGGGCCCCAAGCCCTGCCCTCAGTCAGTGAAAGCAAGTGCCTCTCCTGTGCTTCCGGGGGCGGGACCCGAGTGTGCGTGGGCGTGGCCAGCGTGGTGTGGGCGGGGGAAGCGCTGGCCCCGCGAGAGAGAGTGAATTGACAACCCTGCATAGGGGAACTAGTGTGTGGGCGTGGTCTGCCTGGAGGCGGGACTAGTGTGTATGTGGGCGTCACCAGCTGGCGAATCAGGTGGGGCAGAATGTTTGGAGGCGTAGCCAGAGTGTATGTGGGCGTCACCACTTGGGGAATTGGGTGGGACAGTTTGTTTTGGCGTGGACAGCGTGGCTGGGCTGAGACCTCAGTTTGTGTGGATGTGGTCAATGTTTTGGGGGCTGGATTTAGTAGTGGCTGTGACATTCTCTGTGTGGCTTATCTGGGTTAGTAGCATGTGACTGTATGACCACCACCTCATGCTTAGATGTATTCTGGGCCTCGAAGTATGTGTTGCCAGCAGGATGGATAAAGGTGTAAGAGGACTGAATCCTTCCTCCACACTTTGAACGCCTGAGTTTTCTAGTCCTCAGTAGGGATCCCAGCTGAAAGATTTGGAGTTTAATGACCTCGCTTTGTCTCTAAATTTCATAGTCCTCAGCTAAGTATTTTGCAAACCATGAAGGTCCATTTTGTAATTATTCAATTGTAATGTTGAGTTTAATGTCGCTGGGTTTCATACAGAAGTACATTTCAGAAAAAGAAGCAGTGTGAGTCCGTTTCTCGTATGTCTGTGCTTGTTGTGCTTTTGCGCATGTGGGACTAGGGAGTGGGGTGTGTGTGTGTGTGTGTGTGTGTGTGTGTGTGTGCGCGCGCGCGCATTTGTTGAGTGTGAGGGGCGGGCAGGTGTGTCTGCAGTTGCCCGGGTCTTCCGCTTTCTTGGTGACAGTTCGCTCCCTTCAGCATTAGCCGCCCCAGCCTCCCTCAACCCCTACAGACCCCGCCCGCTGGACCCAGGTGACTTACTCTCCTGGTTGGGGGGGTGGGGACTTGCCTGGGGACTAAATAGCGGGGCTGAGGTGGGGCCCTTGCTTTGGCTTAGTCAAAGATGGTGCAGTGTTTGGGATGTGGGAGGGGCTTGGCTGGAGCTAGGTGGGGCTTGGCAGGGACTGGGCGGGGCATGGCTGGGACTGGGCGGGGCATGGCTGGGGACAAGGGGCACTGGGAAGAGCAAAGCTGGAGTTGGGGTGATATGAGGAGATAAGGGAAAGCTTGGAGCTCAAATTCCCAGATGCCTGCTCTTGCTTCTCACCTTCTGGAACAAAGATGGGTCATGGGATCTTCCCTTCAAACCAGAATCAAGGGACCAGGGGTGAGCACCAAGTTGAACTCCTGAGTCTAGGGCCAGGCTTAGACTTGGCCCAGGCCCACTGATAGACCTCGAAGAGGACCAGCACCTTTCCCTCTTGCCTTGATGTCCTCCACTTGGATTCCAGGGAACAGGCCAACTGGTCTCCTGTGCTGAAGGGGGCGGGATGGGTCAATGATTTTGAGGGGGTAATGGGGGTCTGGGCCTGAGGCGCGGCTGTCCCCATCCACCGCCCCACCCGCAGACAGCGTGGAGGATGAGTTTGAACTGTCCACCGTATGTCACCGGCCCGAAGGTCTGGAACAGCTACAGGAGCAAACCAAATTCACGCGCAAGGAGTTGCAGGTCCTGTACCGTGGCTTCAAGAATGTGAGTGCAGGCTGAGCAGCTGTGAGACAATTGGGTGGTCAGGAGATGAGGGGAATATTATGTGGGGTGAGGGAAAAGGGAGGGTGGGAGCAACCACCCCTTACATCCTCGAACTTCTGATTATGACCTGTTTCTGCAGGGCTAAGATCAGCAAAATGGCAGAGCCTGTAGATTGACATGTTAGTTTAGGGTTTTATTTGTCTTGCCTCTTATTGCATGGTGTTCTCTGGAAGTGCAAAGCTTTCCCCTGTTTTTAGAATTCTCTGGACTTGGAGGATGGTGTTTGAATAGAAGGAGATATTGTCTGCCCTCAGCCTTGTTTGTCTCCCTCCCCCTCCCCCCAGGAATGTCCAAGTGGAATTGTCAATGAGGAGAACTTCAAGCAGATTTATTCCCAGTTCTTTCCTCAAGGAGGTAAGGTGGCAAGGCCAGAGAACATGCAGCTGTCCATTCCTAGGCTAAATAGGAGAGTTCTGGAAGGGCTGAAAATGCCAAGATGATGAGAGGGATTTGACAACCCATGCACAGTAAGTTATCTCCTGTCTAGAAGCTAAGCTTGTTTCTCCATCCTACAGACTCCAGCACCTATGCCACTTTTCTCTTCAATGCCTTTGACACCAATCATGATGGTTCTGTCAGTTTTGAGGTGAGCTGGGAGAAATGGGCTGGGAAAGCCTTTTTCCTGGGACTTCAGGGCCACATTTCCAGACTAAACACAGAAAGGGGTTTGGTGAGGGCGATCAGAATCTCCTCCTGCCTCTTTCCCAGGATTTTGTGGCTGGTTTATCAGTGATTCTTCGGGGAACCATTGATGACAGGTTAAACTGGGCCTTCAACTTGTATGATCTCAACAAGGATGGCTGCATCACCAAGGAGGTGCGGAGCGACTAAAGGGCTGGGTGCTGTGTGTATGTGGAGTGCAAAGGACCTGTGGGAAGGAAATGTGACTGACATATGCTTCATCAGTAAAGGGTGAGATCTGCCTCACGGGGCCTCTTGCTTTGGAGATTGGAGGCTCTAAGAAAGGATCCTTTTCACTCTTGGCCTAACAGGAAATGCTCGACATCATGAAGTCCATCTATGACATGATGGGCAAATACACGTATCCTGCACTCCGGGAGGAGGCCCCAAGGGAACATGTGGAGAGCTTCTTTCAGGTGACGAGTCTGGGTAGGTGGGAGGGTCTGAAGTGAAGGAAAGGAGACAAGGGACCATAGGTAACTGAGTTCTGCTTGCCTCTCTCTTGCCTTCCCTCCTGCTCTCCTGTTTGACTACCTTCTTGTAGAAGATGGATAGGAACAAAGATGGTGTGGTGACCATTGAGGAGTTCATTGAATCTTGTCAAAAGGTACAGGACCCTCCCCTTCACACTTTCTGTTACACTTGGGGCCTGATTCAAAGATGTGGGGAAGGCTCCTTTGGGGCGAGTATAGAGTCTCCAGCCACCTTACCTCCTAACCTTGCTCTTTTGCAACTGCCATGCCCCCTCCCCCACCCCATCCCCTTTAGGTTTTTCTGGCCATCGCCTTTTTTTCTAGCTCTGAATGCTTCCATCTCTGAGTCAGCACCCTTCTCCCTATCTCTGACAAGCTTTCTGTTTCTCTCTCTCTCTCTCCTATCTGCCTCCTTCATACCATGGCCACAGGATGAGAACATCATGAGATCCATGCAGCTCTTTGACAATGTTATCTAGTTCCCCAGGAGAAGGGACCAGTTTGTCCTGGGGGTGGGACCATGCTCTAGCCTTTGTCTAGGTGGACATCACCTTTCTCTTCCCAGGTCTGTCCCCACCTAGCCTTGCCCTGGGGGCTATAGGGAACCAAGAGCCTGGGTATACAGCAGCCCAGGTCGCTGGAGCTGAAGGGGCCAGGAAGTGGCCAGAATATAGCTGGGGAATGGGAGGGACAGGTGTTACCTGGTACCTAGAACTCCTAATAGCTCCCAGCCCCTATTTACCTGATACCCGTGTGCTGAGGGCATCTCTGCTTTAGAAAATGAGTGGTCCCCCCCAGCTCCTACTCCCACTGTAGAAACCACAACATTAGACAGAATGTCTCCTGCTATGGTGCTCCCCCACCCCTATCTCATAAACATTTCCTGTAAGTCTCCCTTCTCAGAGAGTATGCCCTGTCCCTAGCCTGAACGACCTGTCTTTGGAAGCTCTGTGGGAGTGAGACAAGAATGTAGAGGGAGGAGTACTGGGCCTGGGCCAGTGGCTAGGTCCTGGGAGATGGCGGGGGTGGGGGATGGGGTGGGGGTTGTCAACAAAAAAGGGCCTGGGTTGATTTTCAGTGACAGCTCAGGCATGCCAGGTCATAGCCCCATTACCTGAGGCCATTGGAATATGTTTCCAGGCTCTCCAAAATGCCCTGTCTCCTTGGAAGTACTCCAAAAAAATTTCCTTCAGTATAGCAGAGCCTAAGATTCTGATGTCTGGCTCATTCCTGGAATTCCTTCTCCTTCCTTCCTGTTTGTGGTGGTGGAGGCAGGGTAAATGGGTGGGGAGATGTCTTCACTGATGGCCTGCTGAAGTTTCAGCCTACCCTCTCTACTGAGCACCCATTTTGGCTGGTCTGGATTTTCATGTGCCATGTTCTCTGGATTTGAAGGCATAGATCAAATCAAGAACTTTCATTAACTTGAGATTCTATCACTTCCCCCATCCCCAGTGAATGCCTTAGAAGGAAAAGAGGCGGGGAAGCAGGCATAGCCTCTGAATCCAGGTGTGGAAACATGCATTAGAATCCTGATTTTAATCAACCCAGGCTCCATCCCTGCCCCCTGCCCCATATGGCTGCCTCAGGTCTCACCTGGGGTTTCTTCTTGCTCTGCCTATTCTGCCCAGAGATGCCCCTGAGCACGCATAGAGGGCAGGACCATAGACTCCAGGTTCCATCTCATTGTCAGCACTCCTGCCATGCTGCCATTCCTTAATATACCTGCTCGTCCCATTCAGCCATCCTCCCAACCAGCCAGGGTCTGAGGGAGAGAATCCCTTTTCCTAACAAAACACTGTTGACTGCTTTGCATTTTTGGCTTTTCTGTATATTTTGTAAAATAAATACACCAGATCCAATAAAACACAATGGCTATGCACAGGCTGCCGTCTCGTGTCTTTTTGTCTTTCCCACTGCACACGTAATGCACCACCCCTGTCATGCTGCATTTGGAGAACCCAGGGAAGTTCCTGACTCTCCAGGAGAGCCATAGTCTGGGCATACATTGGCAAGAAACTAAGACATGAATTGACTTAAGTTCCAGTAAGGTTTGAAATCTGTCTGACCCCAGAGAGACATGGGAATGTCTCTCACATTCAGATCACTGTCGTGTGTCACATCCTGAGAGTAGACATGAAAAGAAGCGAGGTCCCAATGACTATTCCAAGGAAAGCAGTCTTTGGGACTTGCCCTACTACCATGAAGAAGACATGGGAGTGGAGCGTTTCTTTTCAACCCAGGACTCCTGAGCTGAGACCCTTCTACACACAGATGCAGAGGAGCAGTAGTAGAGAAGTAGCAGAAGAACCATGAGACTAGTAAGAGATAGTAGGGTGGGCTTCCTGGCTCATAGAGCCAAGAAAATGGGGTGCTTTTGGATACTTGGTGGTAGATCCACAGCTGGGCCTTATTGAAGGAGCTGGGTACTATTAGGCTAAAAATAAAAATGAAGGTTGAAGCTCAACTCAAAAATTCTATGTCAGGATATTTTCCAGAACCAGAACTCAAAAAATCCTATGTCAGGACATTTTCTGAAACCAGAACTCAGAAAATCTCATGTCAGGACATTCCCTAAAACCAGAACTTAGAAAACCCTATGTCAGGACATTTTTCTGAGACCAGAACTTAGAAGTCCTATGTCAGAACATTCCCCAGAACCAGTTTCCCAAGACCAGAAACTTTATGCCCCAATGAGCTACTGCAATGACCCCATATAACACCCCCCGCCCCCCGAGCCCAACCTCCAGTGCTACTCCCCTTGCTGAGTAGCCCTGCATGCAATAAACTCTGATAAATGTTTCTACCTCAGCATAGTTCTTGACTTCTACCTGAAACCTTTCAGGTACCTGTGGGCAATGAACAGTAATGTGAAAGAGCTTAGTAACACTTGTCCAAGTGCAGCCACTGTTGAGGGAGAGGCATACCAATGGTCACAGCTGAACTGTCTTGATTGAAGAACAGTATCCTGAGTTATTTCTGATCCTGAATTTTAGTTACTTACTTAATAACCCCATAATCACTGAGTAGCTTCTGTGAGTTCTGTGGTCATTGCAACAAGTTATCAAACAGAAGAGGATTAGAAGTTGGACATAGTGTAGGACCTCCTTTTAGCTTTGGGCTGCAGGTAACAATAATTCACCCTCTCCCTTATGAAGTTAGGGGAGATGCCTCTACCACACCATATTTACATTAAGAAATTCTACACTGAAGATTTCTTAATCTCAGAGGGCTTGCTTTTGGTGTGCCAGGAAGATCCTTTAGTTTCTAAATGGAAGTTCCTCTGTGTAAATATGCCACCCTTGCCTCTAGCATGGATATGCATTTGTGTCCACACCCCTAGTTGAGAATGAAAGATCAGATGGTATGGTATAGAGCCAGTCAGGTCACTATGAGGCTGGTGGTACAAAGACACTTTTGTGGGTGGGAGCCTTTCTTGATGCAGCTCCTGGAGAGGGATGACTAGTAGTTGGTTCTCTGAGGCACCATTACTTGGTTACTAAGTTTCATCATCTCCAGGAGAAGGATAGTCCTTCATTTCCTTGCTATAAGCATCGCCTGGGTCAAGGGAAAAGGACCAAGAAGAAAAGTTCAGTATTTCAGTGTAAGAAGAAATCTGTATCCAAGAAGAAAAATAATTATTTCCATAGTCCATCTGTTTTCCCTCCTCACAGAACCATCTGCTTCTTTATTCTTTGCATATCTTTAAGTTATCTTGTTGTTTACCATGAAGTCATTATCAAGTTGGAACCAACCCATAGCTGACCCTCCCATGGGTTTTCAGAGGCAGTTAATCGCATGGGAAGAGATTGCTCATCCTTCTCCTGCACAGCAGCTGGTAGATTTGAACTGCACACCTTTGGGATTGCAGCACACTTTCTTACCACTAGGCCACCAGAGCTCCCTGTTTGAGACATACTCCTTGTAGAGATCTGAAGAAAACTGTAGACTGTTGTCTAGAAGAAAAAGATACAATATTTTCTATAAGTTTTCAGCATGTATGTATCCCTGAAACATTTTGCGGCTTAAGAATCAATGAGATTCTTAAACCCCCAGCCAATAATGTTACAGAAGAGGAAACAGATCCAGTGAAGGAAGAAGACTTGGTCAAAGTCACCCAGTGAAATGGTAACAGGAGCAAGGCTAGACTCAGTTTCTCAAGTATTCATTTATATGGCTTCGGTATACAATATTTGGGTATGAAAGTTGCATGCTGTATATGTTATGCATAATCTAATCAAGGTGACACTGTGACAGACTCTTATAATACTCTGCTTTTCCTTTTTGGCACTTTTTGGTTTGTAACCATATACATACATACTTTGGTGATTATTTGTCTGTTTTCTTGATATGCTGTAAGCACTTGCAGGCTCCTTGAGTATGAGGTGTTTTTTCCTATCCCAAGGATCTGACATATAAAAGGCATGCAGTAAGTAATTGTATGATGTGTGACTAATTGCCTCCATGAATAGCTGCCTTCTTTACCATGAGAGAAGAACTGTTTTGAGCCCAGTTACCATTATTGAATAATTTAGTCAAAGAGTCGATAGCAGAATTTTGATGAAGAGAGAAAATGTAGAACAGAATTTAAAATTCTCTCTGGATGGAGTTTTAGAGGCTGAATCCCTAAAACTTTAAACTAAAAATATTCCCTGAAGTCTTACTAAAACCAAGCAATAGTTTAGTTAAAAGTGTATGCCTTGAGCACTATTTTCTTCTAAGAACTAACCATATGGGACGAAATTGACAACAGCACCTGAAAACATTGGATAGGAACCTTGTTGTTGTTGTTGTTAGGTACCATCGAGTCAAGTATAACTCATAGTGACCCTATGAACAATAAATCTGAACTCTATCCTATCCTGTGCCATCCTCACAATCTCTGACACACTTGAGCTCATTGCTGCAGTCACTGTGTCAGTCCACCTGGTTGAGGGTCTTCCCCTCTGTTACTCCACCCTTCTAAGCATGTTGTCCTTCTCTAATGAATAGCCTCTCCTAGCAACATGCCCAAAGTATGTGAGACGAAGCTTTATCTTTGCCTGCAAGGAATACTCTGGCTGCACCTTCTCCAAGATAAATGTTTATTCTTTTGGAAATCCATGGAATATTCAATACTCTTCTCCAACACCACTGCCCCAAAGTATCAATTCTTCTGTTGTCCTTACCATTGTCCAGTTCTCAGATGGATAGCAAGTGACTGAAAATATCATGGCCTGAATCAGGCACACCATAGTCCTCAAACTGACATCATTGCTCCTCAATGGGACATGGAGAGATCCTTGACTGCAGACTTTCCCAATGCAATAGGTCTCCTGATTTTCTAACTGCTAGTAAGTACCAAGGATATTAAATGTTAGTGGACAATTAGTTGACATTAGTGAAAGAACAATTCACAAAGGAGAATGAGAATGGTTGGACAGCTTGAAGAAAATGATTGATGTTATTGAATTGTTGAAATGGTGTTTGTTTTGCTGTG